AGAAGGAGAAGGAGAAGAAGAAGGAGAAGAAGAAGGAGAAGGAGAAGGAGAAGAAGAAGAAGAAGAAGAAGAAGAAGAAGAAGAAGAAGAAGAAGAAGAAGTTGTTTGTTGTTGAAAACTTCCATGACAGCTGATTTTAGAGTTAGTTATTTGAACATAAATCCTTAATTTCAAACGCTTTCTTTAAGGCACACAGGGACTGTCAGCTCAGGGAAGTTGGAGACTACTAGATTAAACTTACACTGTTCATCCGGGTTGTTACAACATTGTGGGCCAGAGATGATAGACACTCTCATGATCTACTTCTTTAAGAAACTCTCACCCCATCACTAAATTTATTTCACAGGAATTTACCTCATAAACTATAAAGATATAAAAACATATTTTCACAGACTACAATATATGTTTACAATGAAAGAGAAAACACTTCATGGGATTAAATTCTTTATCTTGGTTTTAACAATCCAGCAGAAAAGTATAACCATGAGGTATAAAAAGTGAACTCTTATTAATATGATGAGCTGTAAAAGGCTCAAGTCAATAACATCTGACATTGCCAGTCCTGCAGATAACCCACTATTATTACAGACTACTGGACTATATTGGATTACTTTTCTGAATTCATGCACCTACAATATTTGAATGACAATGGAATACCCATCTCTGACAAAACTAAAACAAAAATAGGGAGATGTAAATGAAGGACCATTTTGTATATGTGTATATATATGTATGTATACACAAAATAGGATAGATACATAGCTACTTTCTCTTAATTCAATGAGAAGATTTGTATTAATAGTGTTTAGGCAGGATATCATGTCTGCATCTTGTACTATGAATAACTACTAGGAAGACAACAAGATGCAATGTATTAATTATTGTAACTGTCCTACTAACCTGTTTTGAAACTGTCTCATTGCTATTTCTTTCTCAATAATATTAATAATAAAAAATAAATTCTGAATAGTTGAGGAAACTCAACACATTTTCTATAATGAAAGGAAATGAAGAAAAAGATCATACTGGATATCCATTAGAGGACAACATGCTTTAAGCTAAAGTGAGGGAGCCTGGGCAGGTTCAAGCTTGCAGGAAGCATTACATAAGTCTCCTGCTTTGTGGCTATGAGCAATATTTATATTCAGGGCAAGAAACCCACGACGGAATGACTTTGCTGAGTGTGATTGTAAATATAATTTCCACATTTGGTACTGGTCATATATCTAACTACGTAATAAATGTAATCACTCAGATAGGAAAAACTCCATGAACTGGGTGGACTATGTATCTACCTGCAAAACATAAGAGACAAATAATGTCAATGGGTTAAAACAAAACTTAAGGCAGAAACCAGGTTCGATCCTGGGCATGTCAAGTGCTGGCCCTTCCACACTGAGACATCCACTGAGAATGGGCCTGGTGGCACATGCCTGTAATGCCAGCACTTGAGAGGCTGAAAATAGGAGGATCATTACAAGTCCATCTGTGTAATGAGACCCTATAGTCCCTGTCCTAAAATTATATATATATATATATATATATATATATACTTAAGATATATCTTAGTTACTCTTCTCTCATTGCTGGGACAAATACCCACCACTCAAAATGAAGGAAGCAAAGGTTTATTTAGCTCACAATTAATGGAAGTTTCAGTCTATACTTGGCTTGCTCCAAGGCAGAGTGGCACATGGCATAGAACAAGCTTTCATGGCAGCGGCAAAGAGCAGAGAGCAACAACTGCTACCGAGAGGAAGTCTGTCTCACTCAAGTTGCATTCAGGCTAGGCGTAGTATTCACACCCATAATCCCAGTAGATCATGAGTTAATCACAAACTCTAGAGGTCCCAGCCCCATGGCTGTATGAGGCTTTGGAGAGACAACTAGACACAAACCATAATAATACCTGTCTGCATACTTTTGTACCTCTGGCTGGGAAGAGGTGAGAGATAGAGAATAGGTGGGGAACAAAGGACTAAAGCCATTTTTCCTGATAGCTCACATCAAAGGCCTCACTATTTTCTCTCTCATTCCCATATCAGCCCAAATGAACTTCCTGGACACTTTTATTTCTGCTGGAAATCACCAAAATCCACTTTCCAACAGGCATTTTTGCCCTTGATTGTTTCACAGGGAACCTTCCTCATCTAGGTAAGACCTAGCACTTCTTGCTAAATATTTTCAAAGTTATGGTTGGAAAATGACATGATGGTACTAAGTCTCTGAATATTTTCACCAAATTCTCCAATCTTGAATATTTCATGAAATGATTTGAAGCACACATACATGTATTGTGGAATGAGATTTCCCTGTGGGTATGAAAAAGATCCCAGGTCTTCTAAAAAGAGAAGGGCAGCTGCAAGGCCTAATAATTTCCATGAATACCTGCTCTCAGGCATGCTGATAAATGTGGAGGGTGGACTAACTTGGGTGTAAGACATTGTGAATCAATGAACCTAGATTGGGAAGCTCATATTTGTTTCCACCCTCTCAGTGCCTAGGATGAAGTTCATCAATTTTATATATCCATCCTTCCACAAAGATTTTTAAAAGTATATGCATGTTTATGCCAATGTATGCATCCAGAATCCTCTGGTCACAAAACCAATCTCTTTTGGACTCATGAAGTTTACTAATTGGAAGGGTGTTATAGTATCTGAGAAAGCACGTTTCCACCAGTGGTATCACCACTAAAAATTAAACCAGTAAAAATGTGTGACATTTACATTCTAAAAAAGAATGAACATTGTAATATTATCCATCAAAGGTTTATTATTTTTTAAATTATTACTTTGGGAGGACATCGGTGATCCAACTCAGGAACTAGCACTTGATAGGCAGAGACTTAAGCCACTGAGCTATCTCCTTAGCCTGATCAAAGGTTTATTACAAATTTCATAGTAAAAATATTACAGGCACTCCTGTGGTAAGCTAATACAATAAACATTCATTTCATGCTATAGGAGCTGTTACACTCTGTCCAGGTTCGTTGTTTCATTTACTTCCAATCAAGTTTATGAAGTTGGTCACAGAATCTATTGAACAGGCCCAACAATTCAATCTATGAATCTATGGAAATTTGATATTCTCTGCAACTCAATGTATATTCTTTATTACAATGTACAAGCACTCATGTAAATTTATTTTAAATGACGTGATTTTACAAGTAGAAAAACTTGCATAATTATCCAAAAAGTCTTCCTGCCTTATCTGTAATTGTAATTGATATAAATTTTATATCTGTAGTTGTTCCTGAAACTTCATCAATGAGTCATGCTCAATATCATTCAATTTAACAGGGACTACTTGTTTGTCTATGATGATACCTATAAAGGTTTATTGCATTTCCTCTGCTAGACATCACAACAAAAGAAGCACTGATTATTGTGAGCAACTATCTTGTCCATGTGAAAGGAAAGCAAGGAATGCGATGATAAAAATAACATTTTCACTAATTGTGCAAACTATTTCAAGTGCATATTATATCAATCACCCTCACATGCCTTACTAAGGATGTGCAGTCACTAAGTCAGCACAGTTCTCTTTTGCTGTTGGTTTTTCTTGTTCTTTTTCCTCTTGGAAACTTTTCCTCTGGCCCTTCCTTCAAGACATGGTGCTTGTTCCATATTGGTGGACTTTTGACCTGAAACATCTCTTCTTGAATTGAATAGAGAAACATTTTCTTGTTTTGGATAAATCTTCCTCAGCTCACCTGTGCACTTTGATGACTGGATCAAGCCAACATTTTCTAGAAGGTTCCCCTCTACTTGCCTAAATTTCAACTGAGTCTTCTTTGGCTGGTTTTGTTCTTGGAAGAATTTCCACTCATCTAAAGTGCTCTGCTCAACCTGTAATTCCTGTGCCTGCTCCAATAACTTGATCTGTTTTCTGGGGGAATCTAGTTGCAGATATGTTGTGTTGACACTCAAGTCCTTCTCCTCAAGCCCAAGAGTTTTTTCTTCCAATGCCGCAGACCCACTGCTACTGTCTGCTTCCACATTAGACTTCTCAACATAAAAGAGAACATAGGCCTCTTGAGACAGGGCAGCAGATCTGTCACAAGCAGTTATTTTGCTGTCATTCATCTTGTACCAGTGGCCATCTCCAGCTCTGATGTAAGCAAAATAATGTCCACTGTGGGAGGTTGAGCCAGCATGGACGAGCACAGCATAGAGAGTGTACCAGAGTGGTCCCCTGTTCTGGTCAGACATATATGGCTGCATGTTGAGCCACTCTGAGTACTGCACGTTCTTGGCAATCTTCTCCCCTGTAAAGTCTGAGAAGCGTTTTAATAGGAAGATAAGCACCTTGGAGGAAGTATATATCGACAATGTCTTGGAGGCAGGCTTTTTTTGGAAACAAACATCACAGTGATAAGCGTTTTCTCCACTGAGTTCCTCAGGCTCCATGAATTGTGTCAAAGCTTGCTTCAAACTCTGAGCTGCCTGGATATCCAGAGTGATGTCCAAATAAGGCTCAAACATGTTAGAAGTGCTTCCACAGTGGAGACACTTGATTTGAGATCTCCAGAAACCGCCAAAGATTTGATGGATCAAGCCACTGTCCTCTGAGTGAAGATTGACCTTCTGCATGGCACCCACAATGAACATGAGAAACTCATGGGCATCTTCCTGCCTACACGAATTTCATGTTGTGGGCGGGACTGAAGGTCCACCTGCTGCATGGCATCCACGAGGAACATGAGAAACTCATGGGCATCTTCTTGTTTCTTTTTGTGGAAACTGGTAAGAAGTTCATGCAAAGGTTTGATCACATGTCCTGGGTGACAGAGCGCCCGAGTGATATGTAGTTGCATAGCACACAACATGCAGATATTCAGATCAGAACAAGTTGGCCTGTGCTTCATGGCCAGCATATAGTTGGCCAGAGGTGGTGTGTATGTCAGACACTGCAGGACTGCATTTAAATAGCAAGTGTTTCCCATATTCCAGAGACCAGCTCCAACTCCATAAGGTGTCTTCCAACTCAGGGAAACTTTGTCTCTCTTCTTCAGTTTTGCCACCACCCAAGAGTATTTGAAACACTGGCCAGCATCCTTCCCAGTAGACTTCAAGGAGTCTGCAGGAAAATAAAATAAAAAAACAGTGAAAATTACCACTAGCAGAATTTTACAAAAAATGTGACAATAGACAGTATAATACTGGTCAAAAAGTAGACAAAATACCAATTAGAAAAAAAAAAGACCTGGTGATCTCTAACACAGGCACAAAAATACTCAGCAATATTCCAAAAAGACAGTACTCCAACTCAGAGATCACACATCCTCAATTAATGAGATTCTTTTGAGATGTTCAAGGAAATATCAACATATGAAAATCACATGTTGATATAACTCTGGAGAGTCATGTGACTCTGGAGAGCCGTGATTTTTGAGCGAGTGCATACACAAGCATGGATCTTTCCTGACACCATTTAAGAACTTTGGAGAAAACTCTGGGTGGCCTGTGGAACTGGCGAGCTCTGACCCCTAGCCTCCAGCTCACAGCTGTGGAGGTTGTGCTGGTGCCTGTCCAACCTTTTAAGAACTAAGGAGAGGGCTGAGGAAATAGCTCAGTAGAATAAGCACTTGCCTGGCAAACACAAGTCAACTTCAATTCCTAGTGCCACAAAAAGAAAAAATAAGGAGGACCCTGAACAACCTTCTGGGACTCTGCAGAGTTGTGCTCTATGGTCCCAACATGCACAGTTGTGGAGCCTTCCTGGTACGTGTTCCATCCATTTAAGAACTTACTCAGGAAGACTTTGGGTGGTCTGTGAGACTCTGAAGAGCTGTGGCTCTTGGTCCACAGCACAAAAGTGTGGAGCTTGTGCTGGTACTGGTCCAACATTTTAAGAACATATGAGGTTTCTGGGTGCCCCATAGGATCCTGGTGAATCTGGCCAATACTCACCCCTTACAGTGAAGCTTGAATATCTACCAGTTGCCCCCAATAGTAATGAGAGTCCTGGTGAGTCTTACACTGCTCCCCGCTATAGCAGAAACCTTACTGACACACACCTCACCACTCTCCTGCCACTGCTATGTCAGGATGATTATTGGAAGCTTCAAAAATGTCAAAACACAGGAACAAAAGGCAATCTAAATTCCCCAACCCATGCATAACAAATCCAGAAGACAAAGACATACAAGAACTTGGAAATCGCACACCTCAAATTTTTGCAATGATAGCAATTAAGGTAAAGAAACAAGTCCATCAGGCTATAGAATAAATAAGATCAGAAATAATCTCTCAGGTTAATCATGAAAGAATTGCTCAGCACAGCTGAATAAGACAGATTTTAAAACAATAGAAGAAAATATAAAAATTACAGAAACACTGAATTAACAATACATAATGTAATTAGCATACATGAAGCAGATTCAAACAGATATCTGGGAAATTAAGAAACCGAATGAAAGCTGGCAAAACTGCTTGAATGAAGCTGAAAATAGACCTTCAGGCCTCAAGGACAGCAGTGCAGCTGATGAATGTGAAAGAAAAGATCTCTTAAAACAAGTAAGTAGGAAATAACAATTTAGTACCTACAGGATGATGCCAAAAAAAATAAACAAAACAATTCTCCATGACATCAGAAACCAGAAAAAATAAGATAGCAATTCTCATTGCTGACAATATCAACTTCAACCAAAAATCATTCAAAGAGATAAATAAGATCACTAAATACTTGTTAAGGGAAAACTGCAAGAGGAAGAGATAATAATTATAAATATGAGTGTATCAACCTACTTAAGGCAAATTTTTTTTGGCTCCGAATGCCTTCAGGGCATGATTGATAGGCTTGAGTTATGGGGATCAAACCACAGCAACCTGAGCCTGACTGCTTTGTTGAAGCAGCCACTTAAAGAACTGAGCTAAGGGGCAGGCCCCCCTTAAGACAAATTTTAACAGACATGAAAAATCAAATAAGCCATACAATTGCAATGGTGGGCTTTAACTGCCATTGTCACAGAGATAGATCAATGAGGCAAAAAATTAGCAAAGAAATAACAGAAATAAACCAAACTTGTGAAGAAATTGTCTTAGTAGACCTTTACAGAGTGTTTTACCCAGCAATAACAGAATGCACATTCTTCTCAGCTACACATGGGACATCCTCCAAAATATACCATATACTAACACACAGAACACTCTTAAGTAAATGCAAAGGAACTAAAATTATTACATGCATATTATATGACCACAGTGCAATGAAACTCAAAATTGACAAAAGAAACTACAAAAATACTATAAACACATGGAAATTAAACAATCTCCTAAACAACCAATGGGTCATAGATGAAATTTAAAAACATTTACAATCACAGTTTCACATGATCTTCATTGAGCAGATGAGGAATAGGTACCTGACCCACACCAGACAAGTTAGAATTCTTCTCTAGATTATTTGTATAAAAGAAAACTCCCAGATGGGCAGGCTATCAATCATAAAATCTAGGTATTATTGGCTTCTCTGCATTGAGAGGGGTTGAAACTAATCTGCATATGAGGAGCACTGGTAACAGGTAAATGAAGCCCTGAGCCTCAGCGGGGCTCAGTCCTCTGACCCCAGTTGTTCCCAGGTCTACTTGCATCTTTCTTCCAACAATATACCAATCCATCCTTTCATATTTTGTGCCAATAAAATTCCTCTTTATACACAGAATTACGCAATTTTCTTTTGATTCTGTTTTAGCTAGGTTTTGGTTACTGCCAACCATGACTCATAAGTGTCACATACCCATCTCAATTAAACACTGGTAGTGTCCTGAGCAGTCTTACCGGGCTGCTACACTGTTTTGTTTGGCAGAACCAGGGATTGAACTCAGGCCTTTGCACTTGCCAGGCAAGCACTTATTCTAGTGAACTATCTCCCTGGCCCCTACATTGTGGATTTTCTTAAATCTCTGTATCTGTTCTTTCTTTGAGTTGAATGTAGCTTCTAGGTGCTTGGGAAAGAATACTTTAAGAAAAATAAGGCGGGTACACTGACATTCAAACCAAACAAATTCATCTGTATTGCATAGACATTACTAGTACATAAAGAGAAACTATTAGTTATTACTCTCTAGGCAACCTTGTGTACTGTGTTACTAACTTTGCAAAAGTATAAATAAAAGATAATTTTATTGTGAAAAGAAAATTTTACAATTAAATGAAAATGCAGAAACAACTTACCAAAACTTGTGGTCCGTAATGAAAGCTGTCTTAAGAGGAAATTTTATAGCACTAAATTCACACATTATGAAAATAGAACAAGCCTATATGAATGATCTTATGCTGCACCTCAAGCTTCTAGAGAAAGGAGAGTAAGTCAAGCCAAAAGTCCAAAGAAGGCAGGAAATTACAAAGATTAGAGCAGAAATTAATGTAGTTTAAACAAAGAAAGCAACACAAAGAACAAACAAATCAAGGAGTTGGTTCTTAGGATAAATACAATTGATAAATGCTTAGTCAACCTCATTCTTTAAAAGAAAATAAGAGCACAAGTTAATGCAATATTGAATGAAGAGGGGAAAATCAGTGTAGACCCTAGAGTAATTCAGAATATCAACAATTCCTACTTTCAAAAATCTGACAGGATGGAAAACAGAGGACATGGACAGTTTCCTACATATGTATGAAATGCCAAAGCTGAGTCAAGAAGATATGCAAACTCTGAATAATCCAATCAAAAATGAAACTGAAAATTTAATTTAAAAAAACCAACAAAGAAAAACTCAGTTCCTGATAGATTCAGAGCTGAATTCTACAAGAAATTTAAAGATTTAATGCCAACTTTTCTCAAACACTTCAGTGAAATTGAAAGGCAATCAATTATCCCAACCTCATTCCTGGAAGCAAGTATTATTTTGATTCCAAAACCAGAGAAAAATCCAACTTAAAAAAAGAGCTGCAGGCCAGTCTCTCTAATGAAAGCAAAAATCCTCAACATACCAGCAAACAAAATGCAACAAATCATGAAGATTACACATCATGCCTAAGTGGGATTTATCCCAGTGATGCAGGGATGGATGAATCAACAACAGATACAAATCCATAAATTTAATACACCACATCAATAGAGCCTAAACAAAAGCCACATGATTAACTCAACAAATGCAGAAAAAGCTTTTGACAAAGTCCAACACTTGCTCATAATAAAAAGAAAAAACCTACAAGAATTGGAATAGATGATCTACATCTCAACCTGACAAAAGCCATCTATCAGAAACCAACACCATACCAAATTGACAAAAACTGAAGGCCGCCACTTTAAAATTAGAAATAAGACAAGGATTTCCACTGTCTCCCCTCCCATTCAATATAAGTCTAGAAATATTAGGCAGAGCAATTGGACAAGAGAGAAAAATGAAGACAAGAAGGATTGGAAAAGAAAAAATGAAATCATTGTTTGCCGATGACATGATACTCTACCTAGAGGATGCCAAAAACTCCACCAAGAGTCTTGTAAATTTAATCAATAAATTCAGTAGCATAGCAGAATACAAACTCCATACACAAAAATTGGTAGAATGTTTGTTCATAAACAGTGAATGCACTGAGAGAAATTAGAGAAAACACACCTTTCACAATAACATTCAAACAAAATGAAAACCTTAGGAATCGATCTCACA